ACCAACCAATCTTATATTATTTTGGTGACCATGACCTTAAAAAGGTCAAACAAGGCTGCTGACCTCAAATGGGCTTGTGTCCTTTTGCTTAGAGACAGCTGCCTTGGTTCTGGGGCACTTTGGAGGCCAACCTGGAATTTGACCGTGTTTGACCTTACTTGACCTGAAGGTCACGACCTAGGAAGCTCAAAATTCGACTTAAGTGAGTTCACCTACAGGTCAAGATACCCTGTAAATTTGGTGTCTCTAGCTTGCTTAGTTCCCGAGATCTCAGGGAGGGGCCAAATTGACCCCCACGCGAGCGAACGATGTTCAGCCGGCCACCGGGCGCGTGTTAACGCTTAGCAGTCGTGCGGGTTCGCGAGAAAGCTTGTTACCGGTACCGGCCAGCTCTACCGATTTTATCTTCCTTTTTTCGGCTTGGCGGTTTTGTGAGCATTGGGCTCTGCGTCAAACCTTAACCGGAACAGATTTCTTTCCCGACCGCACGTTTGTCAGTGATGCGGGTGATCTGTTCAGCGATCTATTCAGCGACGAGTTCTGATCTCTCTGATAACACGTCTTATGATCAATTTTGGTATGAAATCATCGAAAATGACGTTTATTTTGCAATGTAATGTAACCCCAAGGTAAAAACGCGGCCAAATGGCGGGAAACTTCATATCACTAAAATCTACTATCCGATTTTAAATTTGCAAGCATACAAATATTTACAAGCACAAGAAATAGCGTCCGCAAAAAATTCCTGACCTCTCAAGGACACCTTTCAACATTAAACTCAGGCTCAAAGGACAGTTAGCTCCACACCACCAAAAACATACCAGCCGATATCAATTTTTTTGTGGAGTGCCCGTCCTGTGAGCCCGAGCTTAACCTTGAATGGTGACCTTGAGAGGGGGGAGGACTTTTGACGGGTGCTAGTACTTGCCCTGGCGAATAAATTTATGCCTGAAAATTTAAAATTTGAAGGTGACTTTTTGGTGATATGAAGCTCTTCGTCCAGTTATCTTCCTTTTGACCTTAGAGCCAGATGATATTGCAACATAAACGCCATTTTCGATATTTTTGTGTCATTTTCGACCATTAAGACGTGTTTTCAGAGAAATCAGATCTCGTCGCTGAATAAATCGCTGAATACATCGTCAAAGTTCTCCGTCATTTGAGCCTCGATTTGACCTTCAAGGGAAATTTGAGAGCTCAAGACTTTTTACTGACGCTAGCTCCTTCTGTGGTGAATATTCTCATGCTTGCAAGTTAAGAATCGGGGATAAGTTTTTGGCAGTGTGGATCAACCCATCAACTGAGCCTGAGTATGGCCTTAAAGAGTCACCCTGAGAGGTTGGGGCTTTTGATGGGCACTAGAACTTGTGCTGGGAAATGTTTTGACGCCTGCAAATTTAAGTCGGTCGGTATTTTTATGACATTGAGCTCCACGTCCTAAGTTGAGTGTCAACTTGACGTCAAAAGGTGACTCTGAGAGGTCAGGACTTTCTGACGGATGCTACTTCTCGTGCTTGTGAATATTTTAATGCTTGAAAATTCCAAATTGGCTGGAAAATTTGTGAAGGCATGAAGTCAGGACCCCGACTATCAATCCGCTCGAGTATACTCCATCATTTGGGACGCTCCACATTGGGTCTTGGGTGCTCTCTTTTCGAATGGAGGTCCCTACGCTCTTGTCGGGACCCCTCATCTGCTAACCTGCTCGAGCACACTCAGCTGTTCGGGGGCGCTGCACATTGGGTCTTGTGTAATTGCTATTTGAATGTAGTGTCCTCCCATAGTAGGGCCCTACTATCTGCTAGCATGCCTGGGCAGTGGATGCTCTCAATCGATCGAGGGCTCTCCACGGTTCCTCTCACTCGTCCGAAAGGCTCTAAACGCCATTGCCGGGGCCCCACACGCCGGGGTGCACTTGTTTGCCCTGGGTCCTTCATATTGGTACTGGGTCCTCTCCACTTGCTCGGAGGGCCTGCGCTGCTGTTGAGGCTCATATAAGGTAACGTACTGAGACAATCGATATTCAGGGGCCTCCTACATTGATCTAGGACTCTTGACCTCTGAGCTCATTTGCGAAGGACTCGTCACTCTCGTCAGAGCCCTTTCTGTTAACCTGACCGGGAACTCTCGATAACATAGGGTCATGAATTCATGGTTTTGGGTTATTTCGCTTTGTTAAGGGGATCAAGTGCTCTGGTCGAGCCCGATATGTTAGGACGCCAAAGTACATCTGATCGCTCCGGGGCTCCAGCATACTGGTCTTAGGTTCTTCTCTCTTTTTCAGAGGAGCCTACAGTGGTGGCGTGGCCGATGTCCGAACTCCAGGCCGACATCGCCCCGGATCTAAATCTTAATCGGCCGGGACGCTCCCGGTCGCTCCGCGGCCAGGAGCGTTCCGGTCACGGGGTCTTCCGATGAAGTCAGAAGGATCTTATTCTGTTGCCAACATCCCACGTGCAGTTGCGAGCGCCAGAGCGTTTCGCCTGCTCGTGCGTACGGGCCTGACTAAATGACTTCACGTACAAAGGTCCGAGATCACAGGATGCCGATTCCACTGGCGCCCTGGCCTTAGAGCAGCTGTCGCATATGCGCCGATGAATTTTGAAGCGTGATTGCCGGACATAATTTATGCGCCACCGACGTCGTGAACGCCATTTCCGTCGGTTAATGTCTTCGTGACACTTCCGTTACTTGTGCATCACGTTTTTAATATGCTTCGAATGCTAGGATATTTTGTGCTGGTTCATAGCAGTCAAAGCAAAAACCATAAGTTGATCGCATGAAATAGCCGGCAAGCAATAAATAAGCTAGGAATCAAGTTCGTGCTTAATGTTGATATTCTTTTGCCGCCAATTTAATGCATTTTGCCATGCTTTCTCCGAAATAGTTGGGCTCAAAATGACAGAAGCCACATGATCTGGAGAAAATGAACACGCTCCGTGTATCTGCGTGCGTAGCATGCCTAGTTTTCTAGGCCTGCGCACAGTACGGTGGGTTCCTTTCACAAAAAAAACTACAAAAATTCCTAGGGAATTTTTGACCTAAAAATCTATGACCAAAATGAAAATCTATGACCGGAATGCAATTTTTTTTTTGGGGGGGGGGGCAAAACTCCAGGGGTCCCACAATGCTGCGTGCCCCCCTCCTTAACGAAATCCTGGATCCGCCCCTGTTCACAGAAGAAGGTACCGCAGCAGTTGCATGAAAAAAGACATAGAAGCCATGGCAACCATTTTTCAGATGTGTATTGTACTTGACGTTCACAATCAAATTCATCTAGGTGGCTCGTACTCACCACTTGCCACCCTCCGAGTCGGAGCCATCATCGTCCGCTGGCGCTTCACCGACGTCGGTGCAGGAAGCTGTACTATCATCACACTGCTTCGCGTCAGATGACTGGGGGTCTTCGTCGGGCGGACGGGTGACGGGACTGTCTGTAGCGGCGCTCTGGGTGGCTGCCTTGTCTGTAAACAGACGTTAATGGTAGACTAACCAACAGGTAGCATCATTGACCAAAATGGTCCTCATGTAAAAAACAGTGTTTAGGCGATTATCTAAGGTGATATGGCATGCATCAGTCACTGGATTTTTGGAACGAAAGTCAATGCTATTTAAACGCACGTTATCGATAAAGATGCTTTTCATATTTGTTTTTATTTTATAAATTTAAGAGCTCAATTTCGTAATATACGATCTGGCACGAAATGTAGGGTAGGATTTACATTCAAGAGTTAGCCAGCTGTTGGGGTTTCGGATGCTTCCACTCCTCGGTCAGATAGCGTCCATAGCGTTTGAACGAAAACTTCCAGTAAAAGATGTTAAGTAGATCTATTGTCTGGACCCCAGCGTGACAGGGATTTTATTTCTTAATGTTACTGATCTGCTTCCCTGACACCAAGACACACTCAACTGGAACGATGGTTTGTCAATAATGTCGTCATCAGGCCACCGTACATTTCACTTGCTTTCTTGTATTTCTTGCCGATTGGTGGAAGTAATGAATTTTCCCCATTTACGTACAGTTCTCGGGAAATTGACGCGATTTCTCGCTGTCCGTTACATTTCAGATTACACCCTGCATCCACCACTGGTGTTCCTCATGCTTCTGCCTAACTTATAGTTAGACACAATGAAAATCCATCATAACCGAAGTGTCTATTCACTTCATTCATTACGTCGCTTGAGCCGTTAGGTATATTATGTTTCACTGGGCATTCCACAGCAACGTGGCACCCGCCCACCAGATCTGAGCCTCATCCGTTAACACGACGGACTATACCCATCGAGTACACTGCGGATGGCGCTTCTCTGGCTCCCCTATCAGACTGATGATGTGTATGCATGTCCTGGACTGTCCAGATGAGCAGCATGGGTGCAGGGACTCGCCGAACCCTGTGACCCCCGCCAGACAGAGCAACGGACCCCCCCCCCCCCCCCCCACACACTCCGCTGCCTCGGGTGCTTCGTGGGTGGGGAGGGCGGGGAGGAGCTGGGGCAGCAGTGGGCATGCGCAGCCTATGAGATCCGACAACTCGTGACGAATGCGCGTGCGTCCAGTCGCGGCCCCGCTGTAGAAGGAAGGGCCTGGGACTCGGGGTGCCGAGAGATAGAGTACCAGGGTCTCAAGGCAACGACTGCTGGACATGTCGCGGACTTAGCCGTCGATCGAGCGTTGCACTTCGTGAACGGAAATAGTAAGACATTACAGTTACCTGAAGACTTCTCTGACGCTGGAAGACCGATGTGAGTACACAGCTCGCTATCTGCACATGAATATAACAACATAATGTGGAAACGCATATTCATAGGTAGGCCACTCTTGCTCAGTATCGTGCTTTCGCTGTCAACCTTAGGATCAAGCACATGTTACAAGAACTCACCTTTGTCATCACCACTCTCGTCCGCTGTCCTTTCGAACTTCTTCTGCTGGTTTGTCTTATTCTTCCCCTTCTTCTTGGGGGGTTGTTTCTTCTTCTTCTTTTCTTTAGCACCTTTAAGAGCCTCCTCTTCAAGGAGCGACTCGCCGAGCTTGTTTGCTTCTAAGTACTTCTTCTCCCTCTCACTTCGGATGAGTTTCAGACATTCCCGGCGCTCTTTTCCAACGGCGGCTTCCGAGCGCTGCGCCTAAGAGGGGTGTCACAAGTGGTGTCAAAAGTGGTGTCACAAGTGGTGTTACATCCCCGGTAACGAGCGTGTGACAGGGCGTTTGAGATATGAACACAAGGTGAGGCGGTCGTGAGCCTGAGCCGAACTGGGCATGAGTTTCGACGATATACCACTTTGGCGATGACTCAGTGACTGCAACCAGTTAAGTGCAGAGCATCAGTCGCGGTACTTTTAACCAAACGGGAAGACAGAAATGACTGTGTCACTTTGGCATGTTGTAGGAGATTTTGGAGCACATTATTGGAGCGATATTTTCCAGAGGTCAGGGTAAATGTTTTCCATGTGCAGCTCAAGGCCTCGAGATGCTGCCGCAAACGCTGGCCCGTGTTTTCCCCACTCAATCGAACTCAGCAATAGTCCTCCCGCCACTCGCTCAGTGCCGATGTACCCTATTGCGATGTACCCGGCCGCTACACTCACGCCCCGTGTACAACATCCCGAGGGCGGGTACTCCGCCGACTCTCACCTTCTTCGCGTCGCACTGGATGGACCGGTCCAGCTCGGCGTCAGACGGCAGCTGTGACGCACACTCCAACAGCCAGCGCACCAGCTCCACGTTGCCGCTGCGGTACTGCCGCCATGATGCACGACACCTGACCCCGCACAGAGCGCACGTTAGCCCGGACGGTCGCAATGGAGGCGCAGCAGGCTGAAATGCGGTTACAAGTGGCATAGACAAGCGACTGGGTGTGGTCACAGATGATGGGACATGGCCCGCATGCTCACTTAGAAAGCAGAGTAATTCACGTGTGCCAATAAAATTCCTGCAGGCACTGCCGACCGTCCGGCCAAGCATACCAACCGCTCCGCACGGAAACCACTCCATTTTGCCCATGAGGCCTGCCACCTACCTGTTTGGCGTCTTGGTCATCCACCGACGCTCCGTGCGACTTCAGCAGCTGTGCCGTCTCTTTGTGACCTGCATCTACGGCCAGCCAAAGGGCAGTGCATCCTCTCTTGTTCTGTGCGTCGATCTTTGCCCCTCTGTGAAACGTATGTTCAATGCTTCCATAAAAACATCAGCAACACTTAAGACTGTCCGGGTTCTCCGCGTGTTGGCTGCACGCTGGCCGACACCGCGCATGTTGCCGGCTGCATTGCTAGACGAGAGGTTAACATGACCACCCTGCCGACACCGCACTCGACGGGCTAGGGCAAAAACTTAAACAGACAGACAGGTTACATCGTACGTAATCAAGACGTCGACATTTGTTCTGGTGATTTTCAAATGCTTGGCATCGGGTGAGCTGTCAGGTTGGGTCATACGAGGTCAAGATATGTTTTTGCGCGTCTATGTAGCTGTCTCAGCGTCCGCAGAGAAAAAGTAGTCTAGGTTGACGAAAGCGACCAGGTACCTACGAAGAATACCACGACGTTTCCTGGGGCTGTTATGTAACCTACCATTATGTACGCCTTGATAACCCTGAACCTCCTACCCGCACATTTGCTCAAGCTTTTAACGGCTGAGTTCTCCCAAATTTGGCCTTTTAACCGTTTAAAGTCCATGGTCCTGCACAGAGACTCATCATGTCATTTCAACAAAGGAAGAGCAGGCATCCAGGTTAAATGGCACGGTTCGCAGCAACAACGTGTCGTTTCACACGCTGATCTCCATTCTTCCTGCCGTCCAAAGGTGGTCTTCAGCACGGCACGGCACCACACGCCACACAACGAACCACACCCCACACCCCCTCACATCACACCACCTCACGAGTGTCATCCCGAGCCCCACCGCACACTTCACCTACACCAGCGCCCAGACGATCTACGACGAACATGGCGGCCTCGCTCACGTGGTGCGCGATCCCTACCTGGAGATGAGCAGCTTTACGAACTCGGTGTGACCTCGCAGAGCGGCAGCCATGAGCACCGTCTTCCGGCCGACGGGCGTCGCGGCGTTGACTTCTGCCTTCCGGTCCAGCAGCAGCTTCCCCACTTCTAGGAAACCGCCTTGGGCCGCCTCCATTAGCGGCGTCAAACCCGTCTGCGTACGTAACAAACGTGACAAGTCAGACTGTGGGCAGGACAGGCCAGCTGTCGACGAGCAGGCCAGCTGTGGACGACGCAGACCAGCTGTGGATGAGGCAGGCCAGTTGTGGACGAGGCAGGTCAGCTGTGGACGAGGCAGGCCAGCTGTGGACGACGCAGACCAGCTGTGGACGAGGCAGGTCAGCTGTGGACGAGGCAGGTCAGCTGTGACGAGGCAGGCCAGCTGTGGACGAAGCAGGCCAGTTGTGGACGAGGCAGGTCAGCTGTGGACGACGCAGACCAGCTGTGGACGAGGCAGGTCAGCTGTGGACGAGGCAAGCCAGTTGTGGACGAGGCAGGTCAGCTGTGGACGAGGCAGGTCAGCTGTCGGCGAGACAGGCCAACTTTGGGTGAGAAAGGCCATCTGTGGGCGAGGCATACTAGGCGGCTTTCATGCCAGTTCAGTCTGTGGATATAGAACCTTGGACTGTATAACTGGAACAAAAATAACGTTCCTCTGCACTCCTGTGCGCCTTATTTCTCAAAAGTTCACCCTGGAACCTTAGACTGTAGCGCAACAAAAAGCTGCTGTGTGGAATAGTTCTGACCCAGACGCATTCCTCCGGCAGCAGACAGGTCAAAGGGGTGGTGTGGTTGATCAGGCCCATGGGATCGGAATGGAGGTGAACTGAAGAGGCTACTGTACGGTCGGATTTGTTCGTATATCAGGCGTGTTAGCGGTGGGCATCCATCCCCATTTGGCATGAATCCGGAAGAAGTTGCGAGATGAAACCAATGAATCGGTTGCAGCATTTTGTGGGTTTTATTTTTTAAGGTTGTGCCCTAAACTTTTGATTGATCTTTTTTGGGGGGGATCAGTGCGCGCGTTAAGTTGTGCTTGTCGTGTGAGCCCTGACACCACAGTTCGATCATGGAGCTCCGGGCCAACGGCTGAATCTTACCGCCAATGCTTAACGCGCCGCAAGCTCTACACTGCCCGTCCTACCTCGAGGGTGGGATTCCTGACGTCACGTGACCTTTACCGCACCGCCTGCTCCGGCCGCAGTCCATGCCAGCCAGGGCCAAATGCTGATCGCATAATTTGTTGTTGTTTATTGGTGGTTTTGGGCGCGCGGACTGCAGTTGTCATTTGGCGCCCAGATCGCATCGACGCATAACCCACCGGTCGGAGTGTATTGTGGAACAGTGCGTTCGTTTATGCGATCAGTGGAAAGCCACTGATCGCATGAACGACTCGAACTCTCCTTGTCACTTGTCGCTTGTTTGTTAATTAAAATGCAGGCGCTTTAACAAATGAACGCTCGGGATGAAGTAGGGGAGAGGGATAACAGTGTTTTGTTGCGAGCAACCTTGGGGAAAACCACTGACGCCTCCGGAATAAGGAAAAAATATTTGGAATGAAACAAGGAAGCAAACAACATCAGATTGTCCATCTTTATGTTTAGGATTGTGTCCGAGTTCCATGTGGCAGGGATGATAAGACCACGTCACTGAGGCATTTCAGTGTTTGTTTTCTTAATAAAAAACGTTGTAGCTTTGATATCCTAAGCTGTCACGACTAGTCGTATGCTTTAGTTGGTTGCTACCAAATATTCGGACGTATCTCACATCACTGACTCCCGAGTATGTCTGACGTTTTTCTATGTTTCAATTCAGACCACATGGTTTTGTCCCAGGCGTCATACCTCACCTAACTTGGACAAGCATATCAAAAGAATCTCGTTGTGGTGGTCTAATCATCCTTCCCAAATAGAAGTCAGCCACAGCTATGAACAGTGAAATGTGTAATATGCTTTTGTTTCGCTTTATTGCTCTTCAATCTTAAGCTGTTGTCGTGTTATTCTAAATGCACCAATGCTTCTTTCTTCAAGTGCTGAAGCTTACCCGCAAAAATGTTAATTGATATTTCCCTTCCTTTCCGATATGTAGAACGTACCAATAGCTCAGTTAGTAAGCGTACCTGTATTCCGATTCAGCTTCTGGTGATGAGAGGGCATGGGCTGCGGCCGGAAGCAGCAGGTGCGATAAAGGTCAGGTGACGTCAGAGAACCCCACCCCCAGGGCAGTTCGTGCGGTGCAGAGCGTTGCGGCACGTTAGGCTTTCGCCGTAGAATTCTGCCGTTGGCCGGGAACTTGACGATCAGATGCTGTCAGGGCTCACGCTCAGAACGCCAGATGCTGTCGGGGCTCACGCTCAGAACGCCAGATGCTGTCGGGGCTCACGCTCAGAACGCCACTTAGCGTGGGCGCCGATCCCAGATATCTATCCAATCAAAATGCAAGGACGTAACTTAGTTTAAAGGGTCAAATGCTGCAAGTGAGGTTACTTATCTCCACGTGATATGCAAACAGCACCGACCGTAGAGCAACCTCTTCCGCTCACTCTGATTCCAGTCAAGCTTCACTACTACTGCGTGAAGCGAATGGTCCGGCCGTCAACCACTCCACTCCTTTGACCTCTGTTGCCGAGGGCATGCCCCTGGATCAGGAATGTTCAACACAGCAGCTTTGTGCTGCGTTACAGCGTAAGATTCCAGGATTCAATTCCTATAAATAAGGCGCACTGGAGCGCCGAAGGACTTTATTTTTGCTGTAATGGTACGTGCGAACGTAGACCAGCTTAGTCCGGTCGGACTGTATACATAAACGACAGGTCAGGCCGAAGACTAGCTATTTGATAATGTGGTCAAGACAGGTCATCCATGGTCCGCATGCATCCAGTCAGTCCAGTCTGTGGACGTCACATATAGCATGCGAACTTTATCTGCGGCAACACGGAACGTCGGAATTTACCACCATGAGCACAGTATTTATTTCGCCCGCCAATACAGGCCAAGCTTGATCAGCCCGCCGCAGCGTTGCTGCACCTCACCCGAACTGGACCAACCTTGGCACGGTGCTCAATGTGTGATCCGAACTGCAGCAGCAGATCAACCGCCTCGAGACGGCCCTTGAAGCAGGCCAGCGTCAAAGCCGTGTTATGGTTGCTCGCAATCTCGGCCCTGGTGTCGCAGCCTTTCTCCAGAAGAAACCTGTCGGCGGCAAAAGACGGTTACATCCCCCAGAGGTTCTCCTCCGTCACTCGGTTGTCACGATGACGGCATAGGAACATCTTAAGCGACATCCAAGAAGCCCATGCGCGGCATCCGTGGTACCCCTCCCCCCTTCGTGTCTGCTGTCCTGGTCAGACGAGCATTTGCACATACGTCAGTACCTCACCCTGCCGCGTCCACACACTGCGCAGACGGTGAGGACATGGTTCAGATGGCATCGAAGACGGGGCCCTGCCGTCGGCTCACTTGACAATCTCCGTTTGTCCGCTGGTGGCCGCCACCATCAGTGGCGTGATGTTCAGCCGGGTGGCCCGCCTGCTGTTGATGTCGGCCCCTTGCTGCAGCAGGAAGCGGACGATCTCCAGGCTGCCGGCGGCCGCCGCCATGGACAGTGGCGTGTAGTCGGAGGCGTTGCGGTGTTCCAGGTTGGATCCGCTGAAGCGAACGTGCGCCGATGAAGGGAGCTCACAGCGGACGCTGGCTAGCAGCCGGCCCATCAGATCGAGACTAAAACTGATGTTACGTCTTGTAACGTGCTTCTCGCAGGCTGCGGTGTTCCGCGAACACTTCTAAGCGTTCACTGATCACGCATACAGGCACGCAGTATAGGCCAGGCCTCACGTTTTGATGAGGACGCGGACGGTATCGTAGTGAGCGCCGGAGCAGGCCAGCATGAGGGGCGTGTCATGCGAGCCCTCGCAGGTGAGTGCCGCGTCGGCGCCCTTGTCCATCAGCAGCAGCACGATGCCGGTGTGGCCGGCGCCAGCCGCCAGCATGAGCGGCGTGAAGCCCGCCTTGTCGCGTTGCTCTGAGCAGACAGGTCTGTCAGCGCCGGGAAGGAGGGCCGGCGGTGGGATGACGCTCGTTTCGCGTGGAAAATCTCGACGGACGTGCGAAATATCAGACTCGGATTTTTGGTGTGGCACTCATAAGTTAACGTGCCCAATAACAAGATCCGTAATTTATCAGCAATATGGGACAAGGAAAAGTCTTAAAACGCTGCATAGTCACCTTCGATCAAGTATGGCTATTTCCGCTATGTTACGTGGAGGCTGGTTGATCGTGTATTAGTGTCGTTGTCTATCACTACAGGCAACGTTCCGTTTTTTCAAGAAAACCTAAATCTGTGCGCATATCTTTGCAAACAGTATAAGTGCGCCGGAAAATGTAGAAGCAGCCAAAAATACAATGACAGTGTTTCTAGATGCAATGTCATAAACTGCAAGCATTTGTATCGGAGCACTTCAACCAAACTTTTCAATCATAAGCAAGTTGAACTTAATGACACCAAAATGAAATCACCTTCACACCGAACCAGTTACTAACCGATGTGAGCATGGCTGTCCAGCAGAATATTAACCACTTCGGGATTTCCGATGGAGCACGCCACCCCCAGAGGCGAGTGCTGTCCGGCAAAGGCCTTCCGGTTTACTAGAAAGTCGACCACCTGCTGCCTGCCTCGGGCTGCGAACATGACCAGCCGTTACTTCGCCACCCAGCCGCTGGGACGACACCGCCCGCCTGCCACTATCTTTGAGCAGGTAACAGCAGCTATGAGCAGGTTACAGCAGCCATGAGCAGGTAACAGCAGCTTTAAGCAGGTAACAGCAGCCGTGAGCAGGTTACAGCAGCCATGAGCAGGTAACAGCAGCCATGAGCAGGTAACAGCAGCTTTAAGCAGGTAACAGCGGCCATGAGCAGGTAACAGCAGCCATGAGCAGGTAACAGCAGCTTTAAGCAGGTTACAGCAGCCGTGAGCAGGTTACAGCAGCCATGAGCAGGTTACAGCAGCCATGAGCAGGTTACAGCAGCTTTAAGCAGGTTACAGCAGCCGTGAGCAGGTAACAGCAGCCGTGAGCAGGTTACAGCAGCCATGAGCAGGTTACAGCAGCCATGAGCAGGTTACAGCAGCTTTAAGCAGGTTACAGCAGCCATGAGCAGGTTACAGCAGCCGTGAGCAGGTTACAGCAGCCATGAGCAGGTAACAGCAGCCGTGAGCAGGTAACAGCAGCCATGAGCAGGTAACAGCAGCCATGAGCAGGTTACAGCAGCTTTAAGCAGGTAACAGCAGCCGTGAGCAGGTTACAGCAGCCATGAGCAGGTAACAGCAGCCGTGAGCAGGTTACAGCAGCCATGAGCAGGTTACAGCAGCCATGAGCAGGTTACAGCAGCCATGAGCAGGTAACAGCAGCCGTGAGCAGGTTACAGCAGCTTTAAGCAGGTAACAGCAGCTTTAAGCAGGTTACAGCAGCCATGAGCAGGTTACAGCAGCCGTGAGCAGGTTACAGCAGCTTTAAGCAGGTAACAGCAGCCGTGAGCAGGTTACAGCAGCCATGAGCAGGTTACAGCAGCCATGAGCAGGTTACAGCAGCCATGAGCAGGTAACAGCAGCCATGAGCAGGTTACAGCAGCCATGAGCAGGTAACAGCAGCCATGAGCAGGTAACAGCAGCCATGAGCAGGTAACAGCAGCCATGAGCAGGTAACAGCAGCCATGAGCAGGTTACAGCAGCCATGAGCAGGTAACAGCAGCCGTGAGCAGGTAACAGCAGCCATGAGCAGGTTACAGCAGCCATGAGCAGGTAACAGCAGCCATGAGCAGGTAACAGCAGCTTTAAGCAGGTTACAGCAGCCGTGAGCAGGTTACAGCAGCCATGAGCAGGTTACAGCAGGTAACTTCCGTCACGCTAGGACTGAAAGACGAGAAACCATGGGAAACTGGTGCAAGACCATGTTCTTTAAGCAGTTCTCAGGTGAACCATGACTTGTACTCGCTTCACCGCACCATGCTGCTGTTCGGTGTCTGACCGGACAAAATTCCGGGTTTTATTTTGGAAATAAGTGACGTACGCATTAGTTATATGCATATTTCAACGGAGTGTGCGAAAGAGGCAATCACACCTGCATAAATCGTGTTTAAGCTTGCTTTACAGGCTCGCAATATCAGGGGCTCAAACGCTCGTGAGATCGGGTGCATGGGGTAAGTGCATGACATCATATCTCCCTAAAGCTCCCTTTTTATTTATATAGTTCTGTTTTGTGCTCCGGTGTCGACCTTATAGGGCTGCTGGCGCCCGGTCAATGTGAGGCATTCCTGTGCCTGACAACAGTGGAACAGATGACTTTCCTTCATTATGAATTCAGAGTTATCATGCTGATATATCCAATTTCAATTGGCCAGGAGATGCTAGGCAAACCAAGTTACCAAGTAAGTCATGGTATGTTGACAGTGCCCGATGTTTCAAGCAGGGCTTATGATCCTGATCATCATCCTGCTTGATCGTTCGTAATCATGAGCACGGCTGGAGGCGTGGGGTGCCGCCAATAAAACAACTTTTATGGTAGTCCATAGTTTTGCATAAGAACCCTGAGCTCCTAATGTTCAAAAGCTAGGAGCCGATGGTCTTTTTGGTTACAGTAAGGTGTTTTCCTTCTGCTGCCGAGCACCGAGCTTAGACCAACCTTCAATGCCCGGGGGTGACGGGGAAGCCTGCTTCCGTCGGCTGCTGAGTTCGATGTCTTCGTTTATCTGGCGGGCAGAGCATGTTCGAGATTGATTGCTCGCGAGCGTGAAGGCAACTTCGACACAGCTTACATGGATGGCCTAGCCGCCCGCGCTCTATGGTAACACGAGCAGCCATCAAACTGGGAAGGGCTTGAAACAGATAAATCGGCGTTGAAATAAGATTCCATTAAAAGTATCCCACCAGGTTGTGGAACAATACGCACCGTCCATTTTATCACGTTTATGATTTTTTTAGTGTCCGTTGCATTTCACCGGACGGCTTTTGTAATATTTGATGCGTGAAGGCCAACTCCCACCAGCTGTGCCGGACGCGGCTACACGAGTGGCTGTGCTCAGGGGCCGACTGCATGCTGACAGTGCGGTCGGTGACCAAACATAACAACATATTCTGAGTGTATGGCTTTGAGTCTGCGTGCCGTCGCGGGCAATCTTTGCCACCTGGCTGTCTGCGGACAACCAGAGCCAGTCGGACGGAATGCAGCACCGACGTTGCCAGGTACCTATACCTTCCGGCTGAACCAAACGTTCCTAAAAATATGCGGCTGATTATGTTGCTATAGCCGCGTGTGGCGCTGCGTTCGACTGATTCGTGGCGCGGGTTGCCCCATAGAATACAAAAAGAACAAAAGGCCGCACGGTAGGGCACACTACAGTGTCGCTGGACTAAATTGCACTCCATACGTCGCACGGCGTCGAAGCCTCACCTCTTTCTCCAAGTCCCGTAGCTGCTGGTCAAACTGTTGGCGCACCTGCTGCAGTCGGTCTCGCTCCTTCACGAAGGCCGTCTTCTCGGCGGGCGTCACCGTTTCCTGCTGCTTCAACTTGGTCTGTCCGATAAGGGGGTCAGCTTTTATTCCAGGGACGCGACGCCGGGCTTCTTGAAGACAGATTGGGCGGTGCCCCAGGGCTGATGAAAACTCGAAAATGGAAACACCAGCATGGAGCAGTTGCTCGCGCAGTGCTCTGCTGCGCTATGAATTTCGTTGGGTTCCATGAACCAAACTTGTATGCATAAAAGATTAATAGACCCAAGACCTTTGCATCACTAAAAGCTTTGATCAACCCGAGAGATTCATGTCGCTAGGCAAACAGTTGACCATTTTCCTGCATGAGTGATGGCACAGGCTTTTTTGAGCTTGGGACGACGGTCACTGTGTATTGCTTGTTCTTTCTTTCTCTGGAACGTCATGATGATAATCGCGAAGGCTCCTCTAAGGCGTTAAACGTTAACTAAACTTGAAACGTGCAATGGCAATAAATGACCATCTATGCAAGACGGCATCAAGCCGATCACTATCCATGCGCTGAGTTCACTTTCCTGTTGAGCCTGGCAGTGGTTCTACCTCCCCTTGCCCATCTACTCTTGCGTAAGCAGATATGCCCTCGGTATATTCCCTTGATCGCCATGTATCTGCGCAATTGCCATCAGCATCGGCCTCCAGACCGCAAACCAGTGACCCCTCACCGCTCCCGGCGTGACACCGGTCGACCCCGAGTCCACTGATGACCCCGCCGCTGATGACTGACCCTCAGGCGATCCAGGGCGGCCTCTTCCAGCTGGTGCTGGATGATGGCCACCTTGATCTCCATTCTCCGCTGCTTGATGGACTCGGCCTTCTTCACTATCTGAGCGTCGGTCACAGGGCTCATCGGAGCTGAAGCTGAAGCCGCAGCCGGAGTTGAAGTCGAAGCCGAAGCCGACGCCGCAGCCGGAGCTGAAGCCCCAGGTTTGGGGCGCGGAGTCAGAGCCACCGGGCCCGAAGCGGATACGGCGCCGGATTTCCGCGAACATTTGCTGGTGGCGCCTCCCTGCAGCGGGAATGGGAACGGTGTTGGAGGAAGTTTATGCTGTACACACATCTATGAAAATTTTCCGCGTGTTTTGCAGAGGTGCCCTTGAGACCATGGCCCAATGCGATAGAACTTGACGCGGAAACCAGGCCAGACCACCCAAGCAGCTCACCAGACTGTTCCGGAGTGACCCACCTTGCCGCCGTCGGCGGAGGCAGACTGAGCAGACTGTTGTGGAGGTTTGTTCGATCCGCTCGAGACAGCACACTCTGTAATGTGGGATAGCTGGTAGTGATGCACATTGCCCAGCATTGCACAGTATACCTAGACGTAAAAAACATGTTTGAAATCGACAAGGCAAAATTTTAACTGCCCTGCAACGGTTCAAACTCCACATTGGGTTTAATATATGTACGCCGGGTATGTACGCCATCGGATATACGGTTTGGCATAGTGAGGCGAGCCTCGCACAGACCGCGACTCAATGCAACTACGAACTAATCTACAACACGATGCCCTTGCCGTGGATTAAGGAGACTTCGCACAATTCCAAAAGACATGATAAAAGTCACGCCCTTGTCCAGGTAACCAACTAACAGCGATATCATACGTAAACAGGTCACACACGGATGATGGCGCAGAGACTGAGGGAACACGCTGCTAATGCTCCGCTTCTCCGTCCCTTCAGCTAGACGATGAGCGGCGAACAGAAAAACTGCCACCATAGCTTCAGAAAAACCGCCACCACAGCTCCAGAAAACTGCCACCAAAGCTTCAGAAACTGTACTGACCAGCCGATGATGCTGCCAGCTCGAAGCTGCCTCAACAGCGACGGCGATAAAGGAGGGCGCCTACCTGCGTCACTACGCTCGTCGTCATCGTCGTCCTCGTAATCAGACCACTCTGTCCAGCTATCGGTTGAGGACGTCGTCCCGTCCCGATCCCGCTTTTTTACGTCCTGGTCGGGGTCTTCCTTACTTGAGCCGGACTCAACCTTGGCGTCGTCCGAAAGCTGCCGGCGAAAGAAGAAGCGTGCGGGCTCGGTGACAATGACAGTTTCGGTCACTTGCAGACACGGGTGACCGAAACGGCCCGGGCACGAGGTCCTCCGTCAGTGCAGGCGAGCAGAGTGGCACAAACAAGCACAGCCTCGGCTGCGAGCGGCAGCGGCATGGATAACCAAACAATCAAATACTTTAACGTTACCAGTGTTTTCGCTCCATTACTAATAGCTGTTTTTTGATGGCATGCTTGCATCAGCCTGAGCTAAGTAAACGTATGTCAAATCCACTACAAAAAGATGTTTTATGTGCAGACATCGTTTCCGGATACAGTACTTTATATCGAGCACCTTTGTTAATGTCAAACGGCACTGCCAGCGCCAGGGGCGCATCAGGATCCTGGAGTTCAGTGAGAACGCATCAGGCCGACTTTCAGCTTTCGTTCAGGAGCCAGGACGTCCTGGCTGTGCCTGTGGCCAGAGCCCACCCAATAGACTGGGAGGAATCCAAGTCAAGGAGTGGTGATCACGCCTGAGACAGCTGACTGCGCCATGTGACGTCAAGGACAGCGCGTCCTCACCTCGTCATCAGAGAGGGAAGCGTTCAGCGGGTACTGTGTGAGTACGCGAAGCGTTTTCGTCTCCTGCTGCAGGGTGGCCTCCATCAGTGCTGATGAACCGTCCTGTGGATTGAACAGAAAGTTGCCGGTGTCAGATGTCGTCACACACACCTCCGTGAAGACTGGAGAAGCTCTGGCTGTAGAACAGAGAAGTTGCTGCTTCTTGAAATTGGAATCGCACGCTGGTTAACCTCTTATTTGGATTCAGATTCGATATTCGGAGTCCGGATTCGGAAATCTTTGAATTCATTCGAGCCGCATCATCAAAACCTGGAGACCTTAATATCGTGTAGTTCCCACTTTTCAGCTGGCCTCACCGTTTCCTCGCTGATGGCTCTCTGGTGTATATTTACAAAATGGCGTTTGGCATTCTCAGAAACAAAAACTGGCCGACGCTATCGAGTTGAAATTTTTGCTTTACGGGTGACAGAACGCTCTTGTAAGGGAAAAACTTAATGGCGAACTCTGGACTTCTGCTTTCCCCTCTACTTTCCCTCTCCTGCCATGTGGCGATGTTTCCGACTTGTCAAGTCGTTACAAAGGTTGTCTTTCTTTCGCTCCCGCAGCTAACCAGCGAAACATGGCGGCAGGGGAGCAATACCAGCAAGCACAAACGTTGAGCTCCGTCTTATACAACTCATTGCAACAAGCGTAGGACAGGCGACTCCATCCCATGCAACTCTGACATACACGCGTCACGCCTAGTTCTTTCGAGTCTAACATGTCCCCCACAGCAAACTGAAAAGCATTGGTTTGCATGTTCACCTGATGGGTTTCGGGATTCGACGGTGATTTTTTTAGGATGCTGTCCTGACGCTCTCAATTCAAAGTTCATCGTTCACGATCCAAGTAGTTAAAAGATGTTAACCCATTTGAGGATATTTAACTTATTCGAATCCGAACTGCCAGCTCCAGCTGGCCAAAATGTATCAATTTCCACAATGTCGTAGAGCGTATTCTTGCTTGTTCTCAAATGAGCTGTCTTGTAGACAAGGCCATCAACGATATTATTATAACTAACTGATTCAGAGTCAATTCCTTGTAGCTGCAAACAGCTCAAGATACTCCGCCACACTCAACGTCAGGCCAGTCTGACCCCGCCCTGGCTTGTTGGGAGTAGGACGGCACACACATACCCCGGACTCAGCGCTCCGAGGGTGCCGACCTTCCGAGGGTGACCCAGAATAATGGTGCTCCCTCTCACAGCCAGCCCGGGCCTCGGCACACGTCGAGTGGGGGTGATCAGCCCGGGCTTCGGCACACGTCAGGTGGCGGCGGCCAGCCGCGGCTCTCGAGCAGCGCAGCGTCCCGGTGTGACGCAGGGCCGGCCCGCGCCACACTCCCGCCCAACAGATCTGGGCTGACCATCATCGTCACCCTTTAACCCGTCCTCAGCGCTTTAATCACCCTCTCACCGGCCTGCGCAGCCCGAGTCGTCAGAGCCGTCCCAAATCCACCATCCAAATCCCACCTCTCGTACCCCACTTCCCCGCCATCCTCGTGGTCTGGTCCTCTGCCCCCCCCCCCTCGTGGCCTGGCCCTCGTCCTCCCCTCGCGGTCTGGCCTCTCTCCTCCCCTCGGGATCTGGCCTCTGTCCTCCCCTCGTGGTCTGGCCCTCTGTCCTCCCCTCGTGGTCTGGCCTTCTCTTCTCCCGTCGGGGTCTGGCCCTCTCTCCTCCCCTCGGGGTCTGGCCCTCTCCTCCCCTCGGGATCTGGCCTTCTATCCTCCCTCGGGATCTGGCCTCTCTCCTCCCCTCGGGGTCTGGCCCTCTCTCCCCCCCTTGGAGTCTGGCCCTCTTTTCTCCCGTCGGGGTCTGGCCCTCTCTCCTCCCCTCGGGATCTGGCCCTCTCTCCTCCCCTCGGGATCTGGCCCTCTCTCCTCCCCTCGGGATCTGGTCCTCTCTCTCCCCGTGGGTGGCAGCTCAACGCCAAACAGTCTGACCGCGCACACCGGCCCAGGCCACCTTGTCGCGTCGAGCACCTACCTTGAGCTTGTGCATGATGTTGGCGCCGCTTCGCAGCAGCAAGGAGACCGTGCGGTGCCAGCCGCCGTTGCAGGCCAGGCTCAGGGCGGTGACGGTGTTGTTGGGCGACGACCGGTTCACGTCGGCGCCCCACTCCAGCAGCGCCTCGACGGTGTCGAAGCAGCCGTTGGCCGCCGCCACCATCAGAGGCGAGCGGCCGGCGGAGTTCAGCACCTCCTGCAGACCGGCGCAGGCGAGACACGTGTGAGGGCGTCACGTGACGATCTGGAAACACTGGACAGGATGTGAGATGTAAGGAGGCTCGGCGTGGACGCGTGGGCTGCTGCGTGATGCCGAGCTTTACTTCTGTGCCGCTCCCCGGGATCTCTGTGTCATCCATCTTGAAATGAGTCCCGTCAGGAGGAGACGCTGGCCATGGCTGACCGCTCAGCAGTGTAGGACGCTCACCATGGCGATGATTTGGGCCTTTGGGCGCGCTGACTGCACTGATCATGTGACGCCAGGGTCGCTCACTATCATGATTTTAATTCGGGCTTTAGGGCACGCTGACTACGCTGATCACGTGGCGCCCATGATCGCTCACCATGATGATGATTTGGGCTGTTGGGTGCCCCGGCTGCCCTGATCACGTGGCCCCCATGATCGCTCACCATGATGGTAATGGTTTCGGCTGTTGGGTGCACCGACTCACTGATCACGTGACGCCCAGGATCGCTCACCATGTCTGCGTTATTTTCCACCAGCTTGTCCACCACCTCCATCCGGTCGTGCTGGGCTGCTATCGTCAGCGCCGTGTCCCCGAGGCTGTTCTGGTGCCGTATGTCGGCTCCGTGTCGCAGCAGCCACCTGAATAGAGCGCAACGATCTTATGAGCCGCTCAAAATCAGCGGTCTAATGTCACAGGCGTGGCGTTCGATCGGTCAGTGTTGGTAACCGCGGGATCGAGTCTCATCACGGGCGGTGTTTTTCCAGGCATGGAGGAAACACTGGCACGGCTAGCCCCGCTGCGCAGGCAGATTGGCACTATAGTAAGGGGAATACCTGGTATGCCAACAGGCGTGCTAAATAATAATGACGATCAAGATGTGTTGGCAGGCTGGTAGGAGTTTTAGCCGGGCACCGTAGCGACCTGCGAAGGCTCTACGACCTCACAGTTCTGATGTTGAGTTAACGTTCAGGAGTTAAACCAGCTGGTGCCCGCTAAACGACGCTGTAGTGCTGAAAAAACAGTAATTTTGACGTTGCTGGTTCTGAAGTGAGTGTCTTCAATACAACGGTATTTCACACCACCAAGTCGTTCAAACAGCATTTCACGGAATATGTCAAGGTCGTTAACTCAACATAAGAACTTCGAACTCATAATGCCGAAAAACTAGGAGCTGAAGTTCGTTTTCTCTTGTGTGATACCTCGAAGGTTCGTTCTAGTGTCTTTCCATGACCTTTTTAAAGTTTTTGACACCATTTTAGTGGAAAAATAAACTTTCGCTGAAACTGAAATGCTCTTCATGCAACCACCAGAGGTTGGATGGGGACATTTCGGCCTCCTTGACTATCTGCAGTTCCCAGCGTAAGCAGCTTACACTTAAGATGATGCAAGTAAGATAAACACGCCTAGCTCCAGTCTACGGCACTCGTGGCCTCCATCAATCAACCTGGCTTACTCGACGATCTCGCTCTCTCCGGCACACGCGGCCTCCATCAATCAACCTGGCTTACTCGACGATCTCGCTCTCTCCGGCACACGCGGCCTCCATCAATGAGCCTGACTTACTCGACGATCTCGCTCTCTCCGGCACACGCGGCCTCAATCAGCGGAGAGGAGCAGCCGCTGTTGACCTTGGCTCCGGCCTGTGAGAGCGACCCAGACACGGATGTCAGCTGTGGCGGACGCTGTGATGGGAAGAGTTGGATGGAGTGGTATGCAGAGTGGCAGTGGTGCTGGATGAAGGGGCATCCCCCTGTACTTCCCGGGGACGCAGACGGAGTGTTTTACTGGCCTCCCTGCAATGCTCTGTGTCGACGGTCGGCGTTATATGAGACCGACAGTTACAATATGGTCAGAACCGAGAAATACAGCAATGGTAGTGTATCGCCATTACATGGATTGGTGGAGATTGGTGCATGTCACTCATCTGCGCATAATTTTTTGTTAGAAATCTGGGCACAATAGTGAATGACCTATGCACAGCTTAGTCATAAAGGTCAGAACAAAGTGGGGCAACGAGGGAAGGCGTGCATATGTGTCGCGCCTGAGTGAAGGAAAATGCAAATGAGAGTTATCAGCAGCTGGTTGTTAATCGCTGGCTAACCCTGCTATACTTGGGCATGCATCGTTTGACGCAGATACGTCACGGTACATGACAGGCGAGGGCTGCCACAGAACGTAACATGGAAGGTGCGTACACACAATATACGCTCTCACGCGACTCGTCATGGCCTCTACGAAGCGAACGACGATATCAACGTACAGTGTTAAACATCACGAACACATGGCTTCCTCCTTCATACTGTTAAGCGCCGATTGTCAATAGAAGTACGTGACTGCGAATAAGAGAGAACCGCGTCGCTGTCACTAGTTCGACCGGGAGCAACGGCCCCTGGCAGTAAGCGCAGCGCGCTGGGGTCCAGCTAGAGGTCATGACCTTGACCAGGATGCGGGCCGTGTCCAGGTATCCACTGGCGCACGCCATCGACAGCGCTGAGCTCTGGCCGTCCCCCGTGATGAAGTTGACATTGGCGCCGTGCGAGATCAGAAGACGCGTCATCTCCCGGAGTCCCTCGCTGGGAAAGGGAACACAACACGTCATCGGTGCCTCTGGATTTTGAACGTGGTTCGACGCGATGGAGCAGCGTGCCTTCGCCAGTAACGCTTCGACGTCCTCATGGTTTGCGCTTACAAACTTCTCCCCAAACATTTTAGGTGATCGTGGTAAAATCAAGTTTACGTCAGTTCGCAACTTTCCTATATATGATCAATGCAGTTTTAAACTATGATTCCAGGCCACTCAGTTCTGGTTAGTTCTCAGTGGTTGCATGGAAAAATGCGCAGATACGGCGTTTGGGCCATATTGATTCTTATCGTGGTTCAGAAATTGTAAGAAGAAATTTTACCTTTTTCTGCAGCATGACTTTTTTATTCAGTTAATTTGAGTAGGGAGCTGACCTATCGGGTTCGGTTTCGGTTTCGCTGGGTTTTAGCTGACCTGGCCGCCTCCAGTATGGCTGTGTATCCGGACTCGTTGACATGCTCTGTGTCGGCGCCGTTTTCCAGCAGCAGTTGGGCAATGTTTACATAGTTGCCGTACACTGCCAGCAGGAGCGGCGAGTCGAAGCTGTCCGGCGGCCCTTGCACCTGGCATCAGAAGTCAAGCCTTTATTAGGGATCAGGTCAGGGCGAGGTCACGAGACATGTCCAGAGTTATGCTGCGCCCTATAGATCATACCATGATAACAGGCTCGGGGGTCAGGGGTGGGAGGTCAGGCCACACGTCGGAGGCTCCTGAGTTGGGGCTGAGCCGGGATGTAAAGATGAGGTGTCGAACGTCACGCGTCAAAAGACAGGGATGAAAAGACCAGGTACCAAACGGACAGAAGACCACGTCCGGGTCCGCTGCCCCGGAACGGACCATAGTTCACAGATCCGAGGTCGCTACTGAAAACTAAGCTCCCGCTGGCCATAAACGTTTCCTATGATTTGGCCTAATCCGCAACAAAAACCATGAAAAGTGTGATTGAGACGAAAGGCCATGGAGATGTTGTTTCTTGTTGTAACTTGTTTTCCTTATCGTTAACAAAAGGAAGCGCTTCAATGGCATAGGAAAATGTCGTCAATGGAGCTATCTTGCTTTATAATAATAATAAAAACTCTGGTTGAAGTACACTTAGGGAAAGACTGAATATTCCAAAGGTATCGGAAAACGGATATGGATAACAGAAAACAAATGCATATCATTAACTGTACTGCAGCCTCATTCGGTAACCACCACATCAACTGCACGCGTCGTTAAAACCACCACAACTCATCAGCTTGTCCGCGCCACCCGCGGACCCACAGTTTGCGGAGCGGAGCGCGGCCGCCGCCGGGGGCCTGCCCAGCGGTATGTGGTCCCCACCTGAGCACCGCCGTTGATGAGCAGCCGCACCACCTCCAGGTGGCGGTCGTAGCAGGCCGCCATCAGTGGCGTGTACTTGCGGTGGTTCTGGTGCTCCAGGTTAGCCCCGGCCTCCAGTAGGAGGCTCACTATGTCTTCGCTGCCCCGCTCACACGCCAGGGTGAGCGCCGAGTTCTGCGGGCGAGGAGTCCAGCGAGATCAGTCGGTGAAGTGTTCGGAACTGTTCTGAGGGCGAGGGGCGCGTCGAGATAAGAGTACAAGGTAAGGTTTTCTGCTCCGTTTTACTCTGGAACGGGCTGCTTGAACACAGGTTGTGAAGTGATCACAATAAAAATATATCCGTGCATCGGGAGGCAAAACGTCATTCCACGAAGCGGGCACCGCAGCGCACATTAGTGATTACAGTTAAAAGTAAACCCGGTTCGATACCATCTACCTTCGAAAAAGAGTAACCCTGAACAGCATGGCGTTTTGTCTCCATCACACATCAAGTCCTATGAACAAAGCGGAAATGTAGGATCGCAAGCTACCCGGCTGTTCATGTGTTATGCCCTCAGTTTTTGCGTCAGTTTCTCCAGGAGGGAACTTAACACCAGTTCGAAATTATTCGACACCGATCACAAAAAGCCTCATTCAAGAAAATCCACTCCATGTCTCAGGGGTCAAAACGTCATGACATAAATCAGACAGAACAGGACATGAAACAGTCTGAGCACAGAGCCCACGACCTTCCGTCTTCGAAAAATGAATAGCCGGATAGGCATTGTTTCTTGAGGTACGCAGCCCGCATGAAAATAGTTTTAACCAAAGACAGATATCCCTCAATAAATCGCGCTCGGCTATATCGGCGTATCCCATCCTGTACCACGACGAGCATACCTTTTTCGTGCGGGAGACGACATTCACATTGGCACCGTGCTTCAACAGCACCTGAAACAAGGGCATAGTTCCGGCCAGCCTGCAGAGCGTTCTCCCCGCCAGAGAGGAGCCGGCCGAGACCGCGTCTGTCAGGCCGCGCCGCCTCAACCGCGAACAACAGCGGTTGGCGCGCACGTGCAACTCTACGCTGGTCATCGAAAATTGCACCGAGTTTTGAGAGAGCGTCCTTGCATAATATCGGATCAAAATCATATTAAAGCTTATCTAAGGTCACCGGTCGTGTTGGCAGAAAAGCATCAGGCTTGTGCCCAAGCTATGCAAACCAGCAACGTCTCGACCGTATAGGGCAGCTTTAGCACCAGGAAAGCACCTTTCGCGGCGTGGCGACACAGACTTGGCAGTACAATGAACCATTCATTCGTCCGGCGAATGGCGTTCTGAGCTCTAAAGCTGCAAACTGACTTGCCGAGTTCGGAAACCGGTTACGACTGGAAGTCTTCAGCTATTTGTAACGCTTTACCCCACAAGGGTGAAGCGTTACATATTTCGCAATCCGCAAATTTTATGTTATCCTTATTAGTCGAATGGGAGATGCGACTTCGTCATATTTCTAATATGGGAAAGGCAGAATGAAGCAGCTTACACGCAAACACCTGAAACATATTACAGGACAACATCGCCTATCGACGTCTGCTCCCATTACCGGAAGTCGCACTGTGACGACATCAATGATCGTCAAGATACACAAAACCCCCATCAAACGCGTGGATGGAGGAGGTAGGCCTGGGCGGGCCGGCTAATGAAAACTACACAAGCTTCGGCCATTCGACGCGAGGTCTGGCTGGGCCAGCGGCCTTGGTTGTCACCAGGTTGGCACATAGATGGCACCACCCCCTCGTCCATAAAAGGAACTTGAATACTGCGTTGCACAAATGCCAGCGGCGGAGCAGAGACCAAAATGCTCTGCTGGCAGTGGAGGTAGCGTCTGGTGAGGAGGAGCTGCGCTCCGTGAGCCGGCTCCGGACAGACAGACCGGAGGTCCACCGACTGCCCGTACCTGGACGATGTCCGCGCTACCGAGGGACGCAGCCGACAGCAGCGCCGTCTCGCCGTCACCGCCACAGTCGTCCTCTAAACGGGCCCCGGCCTCAACCAGGGCTTCGACCACGGACAGATGGCCTCCCATGATGGCGTACGTCATGGCCGTGAACACTGCGAGCGAAGGACAGAATGACGCATCTGACAGCATGCCAACAGTCTGTCAACCTTGGCATCCAGCTCCAATGCAGAAACCGATGCATATCAAAATCTTCCATAAGCTGACAACGGTCCCATACGCCGTCAGCCCACAGCTATGTCAGCACATCGGTGGTGAGTATAACAACATTCGGTGGAGGTTTACTAACACAAGCGTCCCAGTACCCCTGGCGTTGACTAAATTAGCAATGTTCCACCGACGCGACGGACCTGCGTCGGTATGTGGCCGGGTGGAGAGGGCCTGGGCGTTGACGTCCACCTTCCGTCGCAGCATCTCCTGCACTTCCTCCAGTCGCCCGCTGAAGGCCGCGTTCATGAGCTCCGTTGGGGTCTTCGCCGCGGGTTTTGGCCCGGAGGGTTTCTTTCGTGGCATCGCGGCAAGTGTGCACACCGTTCTCAAGGGGCCGCAAGAAATCTGTGGAGAAAAAGAAGCCTCAGTTAACGCGCACTCGGTTGGCGTTCAATTTTACGTTCCAAAGGTGTTGTGGGATAACTTTCGATTGGGCAGTGCATATGGATCAGCATTTAAAGTGCTGTATGCAAGTAAATTGTCCGTCTTTTTATATAAAATTACCTGCACCATCTAATGTTACTGGCCTACGACCGATCAATGAAAGCCCATGGCTGCCAGTGGAGGCAACTCCGAATGAATAGCTGAATGTGATGCAACATCAGATTGTTAGACGAAATCGTCAACCTTGAGGATTTTTTAGATAATGAGAAGGATGAATTTAGGACTACAAATACTACTATACAGGTAATTATTATAGGTAATCATATATATATATATATATATATATATATATATATATAGGTAAATTATTATAGGTAATTATTAGAGGTAATATTACATTGACCTTGGGCCAGGCCTGAAGGTCAGATCAAGGACAAAGCCTAAGTCTGCTTTATCACTGTTTAGCTTGTCTTTGAGGTTGTTCTTTGCGTTCATTTCGAATTTCTGGGCAAAAATGTCCAACAGCCCTTTACCGTTTACTCGAAAGAAGTCAAGGAAGGTCACTGACCCAAAGTTATCACAATCAACCTTTTGCTTTGAAAATTATGCTGCCTGAGAAGCGCCTGGCGGCGATTGGAAATTAAAATGTGTTTAACATAATTCCAAAGTTTTTTCGGTTATTTCAAACTTGCAAAGGTGAAAAAAGGTCAATGACCAAACATGAACACCAGCTACAGTTTGGTTACTTGCGGAGATCTGGGAGTACTTCAAACCCCAATCTGGAATTTACACGTGTTTGATCTCATTTAAATCAAGGCCACAGCAAAGGACCCTCAAAAATGGACCCAAGTGACCTCTTAAAGATCTCCACCTACGCTATGAATTTGGTGTCGCCAGTTCTCTTTCTAAGCTTCTGAGATATCAGGGATCGAATTATTCCCCTTCCAAACTGTCTTCTCTCCCTGCCTCGAAGTGTTGTAACCTGCTGGAGGCGGACCATAAAGTGAACTAAGCGCACTGGTCCTAGACTTTTGATTTGAAATTTTTTTTAGACATACCAGCACGAGCCGGTGTCGAACCGTGCATATTGAAGGCTTGCCAAGGTATCATGATAGATGATGTGGTGATAGATGAAAGATGGTCACGCATTTCCCGTTGTTTATGAAGATAAAGGCGAAGAAACGGTGTACGTATGATTATATTCCAGATATTACTTGGAATGACCCAATGCGGCGGTAAAAATTGTGTGTCCTCCAAGCCTTATTCTCTAAGGAGTTCCTGTTTGCTAGCGACCTGACTCAGAAGCAATGGTCGCACACCCCGGCCGCACCATCGGGCGAAACTGACGCTGCAGAACCAAACACAAACTGTTGAATATTCTGCCACAGCCGTATAAATGCCACAGATCTGGTAGGAGAAACTTTCCTCGGAGAAACTGGTAGCACATGGCCGAACTGCGGTGCATTGACGATTACGTGAGCTCTAAAATAAAACGGTGGAAGTGGAACATGTGATCGGCTCGCTCTACATGTTGTGCCTAACATCACGGACAACCGGAAGACGATCCGTGGTTTTGTTGGTTTTCGGTGATGAAGTGTCCCGAAAGCTTTTAAATCGGTACCCGGCTCTATAGGAATCCGGCGCAGTGAGGGCGAGCTTGCCGCACTTTTTATCCGTGGTGCATGGACCGAGGTGCACCAAGAGAACGACCCAAGATTTCGCACCTAACTAAAATTCAGGAATCATGATCTGTCTATATAGCAGACATGTGAAGAACAACCGAGGGAATATTTGCAGCGAAGTCGCCGCCGCGCCGGAATGCATGCGTTTTCCCGCTGCCCCCTCTGCCTACGGCCCCCACCGCTCGCCGCCAGCCGTCCGCTGCCGGCCACCGGCCGCCGGCGGCCATGGCCGTCCCCCTATTCACCGCCGCCGCAAAAGGCGATGCTTTCGCCACCTACGACGGAAGACACCAAGTGAAGGTCGGGTCGCCTCGCCTCGGTTATCAAGCAAGACGTACCGGATGGGGAAGGTTTGGCGGCGATTGGTTAGCCTTCAGACCATTGGGTCCGTCTCCGGCATTTGTGTTGATCCAACCTGATCCTTCATCACCATGTTGCGGGTAGCATAAATCATGGACTATGCATGGCACATGTGATGGCTGTCTTTGGTGGCGAACTGCACCATGGACCCGTGGCATGGGGTTATCAACAGGCTTGCTCGATCGATCAGTCTCTGCCCTCCACCACACTCCCCCTCAACTCTCTTCACCTAAGAGACGCAAACTCTTCGAGCAGCATAACTATTGCACGACAAACCTCAAGGAAAAAGCGGCCAAAGACGCTGAAGCTCGCAATCACTGCATTAAGCATTCAAATCATGGCACAGTTGACACAGCTAAATCACATGCGAGCGTTGAGAACATCGGAGGATAAAATAGCGGGCACTCACCACGCGTTGCTGCCGTTATCCGGCGACAGTTCAGACCCCACTGCCTAGCCGCTCCAGCGGGTGCCGGGGGTCAGTCAGTGGGACCCCGGCTCTAAAGTCCAGCAATCTGTCCCGAGATGGCACCGGCACCACGCTCCAGCGGCGACTCCGCGGCGTCCCGCACGGCCCGGCCGGTCCCCTCCTGACCGGCGACCGCTGGCGCCGGCTCCCCCCGCCACCGGCCGCACCCCGAGGCGTAACCCTTAAGCAGGGGCGCGCGCAGGCAGGTCGCGCGTGGGGAAACCATTCACGCTGACTTTGATTTGGCCTAAGCGGAAGCTATCCGCAGAGGCTACATGGCAGCATCATCGGTGCATTGATCGATTCACAGCAACAGTTGACAAGATGCATGACAGAGAGGAAAAGAGGAAGAATCACCCTTAACCGCATGACAAATGACATTACAGTCGCGATATTAGCAGTACATGGGTATAGTGTGAGATTTCCTAGTGGCGCCTCTGGTGTTACTCTCGCCTGGGGTCGTGAGCGAGGGACAGTAGTCAGAGAAGCCATGCGGGAGGGGTGAGAGCGCAGTGGGTAACAAAATGCAGCATACACGCTCGCAATGCAATATCACGCACGCAGCATATTGTCTTTGACAATGAGCGGCATACCAATTTTGACATAATCTTACATTCCGTGGATAGCTCGCGGAAGCGCTCGAGATGGGCGAAGAGGTGGTGGAAATGGTCGGTCAACGCTGACGGGATAGTGAGGAGACTAAAGTGGTCATCAACGGCCTTACTTTCCATTTTTATTTGAGGTATTGTTTAACAAAAACGATGTTATCCCCCGGCGTCACATTTCGCCGTATTTGAGGCGAGAGACGTCGTCGCTTGCTTGATGCGGAGACAGCAACGGCGGCGAGCCGAGGACCGGTGCGTGTGTTTGACTGGATAGGAAATGATTTGTTTACTGGGCCAACATGGCCCCGTTAAACCTCAGATGCAGATTGTGTTCGCCGATAGTGTGTCCTTTCTGTTAAAACATAAAACGTAGATATGCTAGGACGCGTATGCCTGCTTCGACGATGAACAGTGTTTTCCCGGCCTATGCTTCTTTGCCATCCCTGATGCAACAGGCCTGGTACCGGCACACGAGCCCAAGGAAGCTATCGTCTTACAATGTTCAGCGGCGTATGTGCCCTGAATGTAAGAGAATACACGCGTTGGTTCGCAACGCACCACCTCGACAACCTGCATCTTAGAATATGCGTCCAGTGCGCACCGTCTTGCTCGATCGACTCCGCACAGGGCAGCCTGTAAGGCACAAGGCACCTGTGTCCTGTGAGAATACCACGGTAACTGTGTTCAGAGGAGGCCGATACATACGTGATGAAGGCGAGCTTCGTACATCCACCAAAAAATAATGTATGATATTCATCATATTTTGATACTAAACGATTTCCCGCAGTGGCCATATCAGAACCCCGTGGCAGCTAAGACATTAAAACGGGACGATGTCATCCGGCCAGCCGCATGGCTATAACGCATAAATGATCTTTCCATGTGCAAGCTAGTAAGGCTCTCAACTGACATCTAGAATTATGAATAAAACACCCCGCCCACTTACAACGACGCTACAGATATTGACATGCATCAGTTCAAAGTACAGGTGCCGAATAACTAAGCTTAAAGGGAATGTTTCACATTTGAAGATATCAAAGCAAGCTTCAGGTATGATATAAATATGTTCACTTGTAACTATTCGCATACTTGTTTGCATATATTCGCATGCAAGCAGAACAAACAACTCCAGACAACACAGTTTCTCTGTTTAGCAAATATGCTGTTCAATTCGTCATTGTTTCATTACGTCATCGCACCCTGCACAGCATTAATTAAGAGCCAATTAACGGCCGAGGTCCTGCAGTCACGGTCACGGACGCTAGATCAATATTTATCTTTTTCCAGACCTTGATCGCCGCATGGCTAATGGAACAGCAGGATCTTAATGACATTATTACGACGTCATCGATGCCTGGATGACCTTGAAATAGTCTCCTCGAAAAAGTCTGCTCATCTTCGCTGGTGCGTGGCTCCTTAACTAAAGGGGTTTAGCTTTTAAGAAGGGTAGGGACATGTATTGCAAAGAATGATCTCCAAGATGGCTATTTCAATACAAAATCCTATATAAATGTGGAGTTAACTTCACTTAAAATATTAGTCGCTGGCGAGACGCTCTCAGAATGTTGTTCCTAGCCAAAGCTTTCAGCACAAAAACTTGCCTTAGACTGGGCCAGGTGTGTCTTAGTGCCCAAGTAATGTCATGTATCTCACGGAGAAAACAAACGTAAAATACAATCAAAACAGAATTTTCAGGTATGCATTTCATCCTGAAAAAGTCAGACCGCGTTTTGACGGTTGCATATGGGATCTAGACAGCTTAAGGCGATAATTGATGTGGATGTTTTAACATGCGAAGCGCGATCTTAACACGATCTAGTGTTATGAAATATTTCTTAAAAGGGTGTTGAAGTGAGCTCTGATCTTGGTTAGGCAGTGTCTACCGTGTCACCTGAAAGCGCCGCCTCTGACTTGCCGACTGGCTGTCTCCCGGGTACTGAGCTTCGGCTTAAGGACCACGCACGCCATGGTAAGGATCTCAAGTAGTTGAAATAAAGAAACTTCTTTTTTGCCACTTCCAGTGATGTTCTCACTCACGTGTGTCGGCGAAGAACAAAAAGGAGACGTCCGACATGGCCGATAGTTGCATTCCAAGTCCCCTGCAAACAGCGTTCGTGCCAGGCGAAGGCAGCCGTCGACACGGCTGGCTCACAAAATTTCGGAACGTCGGCTGAGCGAGGGTGGGGCGCTTCGGGATGACTGGGGGCTTTAACCCGAGGCACGCCCCAATATGGGCCGGCCCTGGCGTGTGGTTCCCTTGTGTGATATGAAGAGGAGGGCTTCGGTCCCACACACGCACCTTTGTGCCATGTTGAATACCCTTCACTCGGGTGGGGGCCACTTTGACCCTCTGATTTGTAAAAAAGCTAAGACAGCTAGAGACACCAAATTCAGAGGATAGATCTTTTGTATGTGAATTCACTTGTGTGCAAATCTGAGTTCCATAGGTTATGATCTCTGGGTCAACTGGAGTCAAATAGGGCAAGCTTAAGGTTTGTATCCAAAGTACCCTCAGACCCTCTCATACAACTGCCTTGAACCTTAGTGACTGTTCTAAGCAAAAGGTCATTGTTGTTCATTTGAGGCCAGCAGCCATATTTTATCTGAGAAGGTCATTGTGGCTAAAAAACTCCGAAGTTATATCAATCTTTTAAATTTTAATAAACGTTGAGGATTGCGTTTGGCTTAAATTTCAACACCTTTCTAAAAACAAAGGGCTGATCTGGATGAGTTAACATCAGTAGCCTATTCTGACCTTAAGAAGTCTATGGAAGATGTCTGTTGCGGTTCCTGTTATCAATAAATTCGAAATTATTATTATGAGCATCAGAAACTGTCCCATAACGCAGGCTCTTCAGTAAAGCAGCACGCTAACTTGACCTCGGTCTAAAATTTATACCCGACCCTAGGCTAATGGAGTTTTTGTAACCGCAATTTCAATTACTGTTTTGCCTAAGTATCAGGTTGAACGATTCCCTAGAGATTGCCTTGGCCCACAGCCTCGGCCTGACTTTGACATGCCATAGGCCAATGATTTTCAAGTTACCTCTTATTCTTACGCCAAAAGCTCCGCTATTCATTCACAAACAGCTATGAAAAATTTAGCGCGGCGTACCGGTGTCATTCAAAAACTAAGTTGTAAAAGTTTTTGGGTGTCAAATTGACCTCCACCCTAGCGCGTCTGAAAAATAGCGTCTCTTTCATGACAACTCTGATGTATGCCGATGATGTATGCTGACATGCATGTGTCTGATGCATGCTTGCTTAAAGGCAATCCGAGCACAATGAAGATCTGACGTGATAAGACAAACTGGCTTCCGTGCAAGACGTCGAACTGCCGTGGACGTTTCATCACCAATGGAAAAATCACTTAAGCTAAGGACACTACCAAATGACACTCAATTGTCCCAAACAAGTTATCGCCCATTGTGATAACAGTGCAGCGCAAGACACTATATACCAGCCATCGAAATTAGCGTTCCTGGCAGTCGCGTTCAGCACGCAGGCCGCGTGAAGATCATATCATTGTTTCAGCAGCTCTTAACAATACTGCTGGGAGACGCCACAACACCACGACAGCAGCACTCTACCTTCAACGTCTGAATACATTCGTGTTATGCTTTTACCTGTTTTTTTACGAAGCCAAGAGAAGGTGATCTTCGTTGCCTCGGACCATCGTAAAAATATTTAACGGTATTTCGTGGATAAACACCAATATATTCATAAACGCTGATTGCACCAGATGTTGGTATAGTTTTCACAATGCTGTGTTCTTCGTTTAGGTCCTAAAGAGTCGGGTTTGATACTGGCTCATAACAGGATGGCAGCACAGTTTTCAGGTTGATTATTGGCGTTCCCATACGTCAAGCAGTATTGATATTGCCGGAGGGTTCGAAGAATGTGCATGCATTCGTCCGCACTTTGAACCTAGATGGCTTCAACTGGGGGAGATGGGGTTGGGCATTGACATTGGGATCTTGTGGGATTAAGTTGACCGGGCCCGGCGCTGTGTGCTCCAGCGAGCGACCGGAGCACGCCTCTGGAACGACCGGTTCGGAACGACCGGAGCACGCCTCTGGAACGACCGGTTCGGAACGACCGGAGCACGCCTCTGGAACGACCGGTTCGGAACGACCGGAGCACGCCTCTGGAACGACCGGTTCGGAACGACCGGAGCACGCCTCTGGGTGACACCCAACTACCACGTGAACACGTGGAGCGTGATGATTGGTGGGGCCGGGTAAGGTCATCTCGGCATGACCTATGGCAAGGTCAGCCAGCGCGAGAAGTGGGGTCGCGAGTTTGGTCAAGCCATGAGATTGGCATTCGGTTTTGTCGATAATAATGGCAAGTCAACTTCGAGTATTTGCGAACCCAGCTGATGATACGAACTGAGACACGCAAAAGGGCCCGTGCTTGGGAGACCAAAGTGCTAACCGCTGGGGCATTACACCACGCCCCCAACCGCTCGGACATTACATCAGGCCCCTAACCGCTTGAACGTTACATCACGCCCCCACCCCCTCGAAAATTGCATCACGCCCGCACCCTCTCGAACATTACATCACGCCCCTAACTGCTCGAACACTACACCACACCCCTAACCGTTCGAACATTACACCACGCCCCTAACCGCTCGGACATTACATCACGCCTCTAACCGCTCGGACATTACATCACGCCCCTAACCGTTCGAACATTACATTACGCCCCTAACTGCTCGAGCATTACATCACGCCTCTAACCGCTCGGACATTGCACCACGCCCCTAACCGCTCGGACATTACATCACGCTCCCAACCGCTCGGACATTACATTACGCACTTTCCATTGCTGCCTCGAAGTGGGTGCCAGACCATAGGAAATCCATTACGCCTCCTAATTGCTTGCATTACTCCGGAGCTGAAGTGTTGACAGGTGACTCAACAATAAGGCCATGTCAGGTGAAGTCATACTTTGACGAAAGTAAATGTAAACTTCTGTTCGTTCGTACACAAGTGGTTTGAGCCCCTGCTTCCGATTTACCCACCTGTGGTGGAGTGGACTCGAGTTGCTTTCAGCGCTCACTATTTACACAAGACTTGGATGGCCTGCGGCCGGTAGCAATGGCAGCGCTATATGTCAAGTGCCATCGAGAGGGCGGGACGGACCCTGCCGAGCACTGCGACACAACAGACTTTTCCACAAATGTCTTCTGCTGACCTGGACTTTGATGATGGAATGGTGGGGTGGGTATGGTTAGAGCCTGCGCAACAAGCACTGTTTACCGTGATCTCTGATCTGAGAAATCTATCACTTCAAAAGCGCAGTACCAAGTCCTTGGAACAGAAGAACAGTGTGTCGGAAATCACAGCCAATCCGCATCCAACTGTTTAACTGGTCTGCTTGTGCGATAATTTCTCTCTGTGATATTGAGTGCTACGTATGACAATATTCACCTTTCGCACCATAGTCATTTCCTTAAGAAAATGCAACATTCTATGCCCGCGTTGACCTAATCTCAAAGACCGTTGATGCTAATCATGTTGCTCCTTTTAACGTCTGAGAATGGAGGCCAGAATATACAGAATCCATAAGGATGCAACATGTAGAGAAAAGATCCCGGACAGCCCTCATTTGTAAACATGACGACCTCCAGACATTTATCACCAGCTGTTAAATGGATTTGTCAGAAGACAATTATTCTAGAGAGATAACGAAGTTGCGGTCTTGCGGATAAGAGCGGAAAAGTTAGCCATCTTGTGAAGACGTAACGTGTGAGAATGCTCAGGAGCGCCAATACAAAACCTGCTTTCGTCATAACCCAGTTCTGCCTGTTGGATCGTGCACTGTATACTTGTATATTTGTATATTTGTTTGAGCGTGCCCTGTATATTTATGTAGTGACTGTAAGTAGCGGCGCGCCAATGAGCCATGCATTGCTAGGTGTGAGTAAAAAGTCAAATGGAATAGCAAGTGCCCCTCAGATGACAGGTTCCTGGTGTGGAATTGCACACCCACTATCTCATGCAAAGCCTATATCACGTTGGTATTTATTAAGCAGTAAAACATTGTACATGAACGCCATAGTCAGACCTTCCCACGACGGGTGAGACGACAACACGAGAACTGTCCGACGCGGCTGCGGGAGAACACGGCTCTCTCGTCACACTTCCCCTGGCGCCGGTGCTAACCCAGTAAGCTCGGCTAGCGCGCTGTTATACCATCTCACCTGGCGCCAGCGCTAGCCCGGTAAGCTTGGCTAATGTACCGTCTCACCATCTCAACCAGCGCCATGTCGGTCACGTTGGCACAAAAGTATGAACAGTATGAGTAGGAAGCATACGCCCGTGCACTTCCTCTTCGGTGGTTGAGTTCTTTCAGTTCTTTTCCCTGGTGTCGTCAAGAGCAACTCTTCGAGAGGGATTTGCCCTTCTGGCTCGGTTAGCACCCTCGTCGCTCTCTCTCGGCTCGGATGAAGTACAGACAAGATGCGCGACTTTTCTGCAGGGTGGGCCCGTCAAGATCCATCGAACGCTACGGTAGAGAGAAGAGGGGTCAGTGACACACCCCTGAGGACAGGGTGACAAACGACACCATGGCCGTCCTAGTGGCGGCACGACAGACAGAGACGGCGGTGAGTCTGGGCCTGAAGTGAGTCCGGAGCTGCCTCTCGACGGGGCAGCAGTTTGTCAGTGACGCTGACCACAGCCAGCCCCAACACAGTCACAGCCAGCTGCGTGGCCTCAGTCGCGGCGCTCGTCACCAAAGGGAAAGAAATATCAGGTGGTGGCGTCATTCGGTGACAAACTCGGTGACACACATCGAATGTCACAAAGGTATGGGCCTCAGAGCTTACGGTAATCGCTTTCCATGAGCAGCTCGATGTCTTTAAAGGTTGCCGCAGACGTTAACTTGCTATATTTACCACTCGACTGAAACCCGCCTTGGGCACGCCGTCACGACCTCACTTCTTGCAGTGCCGGTGCATTATATGGCACCCCTTCGCTTCACTCACGCCACGTCACCGCCGTCCCGACATCGCGTTACGCTCTCACCTTTTTTGAGCGGCTACGGAGGCACCGTTCCAGCTCCTCGTCAGACGGCAGCTGTGACACACACTCCAACAGCCAGCGCACCAGCTCCACGTTGCCGCGGCGGTACGCCGCCATGATGCACGACACCTGACCCCGTACAGAGCGCAGGTTAGCCCGGACGGCCACAACGGAGACGCAGCAGGCTGATGTGCGGCCACAAGCGACAAGGACAAACGACTGGGTGTGGTCACAAGTGATACGGCTCGATCGAGACATCCGGTGACAGAAAAGAAGGGTAATGCCAACAGACCGGTGCTGCGCTGTTGTACGTAAATGCCAACAGACCGGTGCTGCGCTGTTGTACGTAAATGCCAACAGACCGGTGCTGCGCTGTTGTACGTAAGATCCCAGCACCCAGAGGGCATGACAACAGCAGGTCGGCGCAGAGCATTAAATATACGTATCTCAATGCTGAGAACAGCCTAATGGGAGAGCAGGAACTACCTGTATTTAATTGGACTAGCATGAGCCCTGTGTTACTCTTACTCTGTGAACTCTGGAGCCCATCATGCACACCCATCCCTGCTGCAGTCGTTATACCATGCCCGGGCTGCCTGCCACCGACCTGTCTGGTGTCCTGCACGTCGACCGAGGCGCCGCAAGCCTGCAGCAGGCGTGCTATGGTGCCGTGACCCGCGTCCAGCGCCCACCAGAGGGCAGTGCGGCCCGCCTTGTTGCGGGCTTCGATTGCCACCCCTCTGTAAACATCAATCGGGTTCTGACAAAACAGGCGGATATTGTGGCTGTTCTGTTGTGGCTGTTCTGTCGTGGCTGTTCGCTGGCTGTTCGGAGAGCAATTCTTTCAGTTTAGTTTTGGGCGAGAGGAGTAACTAATGCGTACAGCAATGACGAGATTGCTGGTGTGCTGGAACCGCGGACGCTGCTCTTGGTGTTTAAAATTCTGCGCTTTACAACAGAGTTATAAACACGCTTGGCACATTTACGGCTGTGTTATCATACACAGTGGTTTCATCATCTGTTAACACATATTCAGTGGCGATAGTACACATACAGTGGTGATAGTTGTCTACTCCAGAACCCTAGAGAGAGATTAGAGTTTCCAAGGAGCACATGCTCCCGCACAAAATCCCGTCAAGTCTAGTAGCCAGTAACCAGTTTTGTGAAGAGAGAATGGCGTACAGTTGTGGTGTAGAGTGACTTCCCAAGCTTTTACTTCAAATACAGTCGCATAAAATAAGAAGTAACTTAGCACTCCCAAGTCCGTAAAATTCTACTTTTTACGTAAACATCTGAAGCGAGGAGTTACTCCGTACTTCACCAGACATCCGCCGGGTTTCATAAACGCAGCTGATTTGACAATGGAGTAGACATTCACTCTGAAACTGATGTAAAAAAGATGCTCTGGCCCCTCGTACAATGAGCAGCAATGGTCAAAGCAAAGCTGGGGCACGGCCATGCAGGAAAGAAGGAACAGGCTCTTTAGGCCAAAAAACAGCATGCAGCGAGAGCTTGTGGGGCTATGGAGCGGTGTCAACACATCATGGGCGGATACGTGCGCATATGTGAAAAATAAATACGACTACAGTTCGTGTAATTACTTTGAAGGCATCGCAAACCTATGTCAAGAACTGTGGTGGAGGAAGCTGGCAGGCGGTTATAAAGAATGATCTCTTTTCCACGCGTCACGGATTTCATGAGATCATGTTTTTCTTTCTTGCTATGACACGCACAGGTACGGTATAAGCTCACAAAATGCATCACCTCCGGTAAAGACAAAGTCATCTATTTCAAGGAGCTCTTGTCGCTGAGGTGCAAATCGCCTCCACACACAGTACAAGGAAGCTCAGAGTATGAACACGCGAACCAAACAGCTCTGTTTACTTATGCGAGTAGCGAAATAATAACGATAATTATACGATGTCTGCATTTCAGCGAATTAAAAGTGATCGTAATTAGTCTATCAGTTGATCTTCACACAAATCACAAATGCATTACTGACTTAACCCCAAAAAATGACCACCGTTTATTACCTTAGCGATATTCCTGAATTCATGACAGGCATCTTAATCTCTCGGGTGCAAAGCAACAACGTCCTTGCCATGGGAACAACCGCGTGTATCGCTGCTGAAATTACTTCAGCCTCGGCTTCTAGCGATATACGTCGGGGGAGTGATGTCAGGTTCATGAAACCGGCGTAAGAAGTGGGGAGTTACGCCGAAATACTCTGGCCAGCCCGAAGTCAGAAGTAACTTCTCTTTAAGAATCTGGTTACAGGAGGCAATCACACAAATAAGACAATAGTATCAGCCCTTTTCCTCGGAGCAAAATCAAGAAAATGGGGATATAGCTAGGTTGACATTTCGGCAACATGCCTTTGTCGAAACAATAGCAGGAGTGAAGTAAGTTTTTGCTCTTGTTTCGATAAAGGCATGCTGCCGAAGCATCAGCCCAACTATATCCCTACTCTCCTGGTTTTTCTCCGTAAAATAAGGCTAGTACTGCCGTCTTATCTCTGTGAATAATGTTCCTCTCTAATGCACTGTGCAGCTTACGTAATTTAGAGGGCATCACACTTTTACTGCTTTTGTAGTGCTAACAATAATGACGCCACGGCCTGAACAGCCGTCGTCGCTGTTTTCCCATATGAGGCCCCAGGGCTCACTCTTCAGCACGCGCCATGCGCCCCAACCAAGACACTGCCACACCACTGGTGCCTGACCACAGCCGTCACGTCAGCACACAGCGACGCAGCCGAGCCACATCAGACCCGACCACAATCCCAGCCCGACGCCCCAGGTCGCGCCATGGCAGCCCCGCTCACATGCCGACCGATCCTCACCTGGAGATGAGCAGCTGGACGAAGGAGACGTGGCCGCGCCAGGCGGCGATCATGAGCGCCGTCTTGCCGCCGCCGCCCGGCACCGTGGCGTTGATATCTATCATCCGTTGCAACAGCACCTCCGCCACCTTCGGGAAGCCTCGGTAGGCGGCCGCCATCAGCGGCGTCATTTTCGTCTGCGGACGTGACAGATCAAACTGTGGACGTGGTTGGCCAGCGGTGGACACGGCTTGCCACTGTTAATATGCCAGTTCAGACTGTGGACGTGAAAGTTCCGACTGAGACCGCATCCTTTTAGGCTGTGGACTCGTGCGGTCAGACCTTATACATTGATGTCGGTGCAGACTGTATCCATGTCATTACAAAACGAGATCACGACGTACAGGACAAAGCGTATATCATTCCGGTTGGCCAGCATCACAAGCCAGACTGCAAAAATCCTTGCAAACAAAGTCGCGCTAGTGGACTGGACAGGCCAGACCGGATATGACCCGCGAGTTCCACCAGTCTTTGGAAACTAGGGTCCAACGGATGGTGTATCAATCCAGCATGCAAAAATTTCGGGTCAGACCGCAAACATGCATGTCATTGTCGGGTCAGACTGCAGCCAGGTCATGTCATTGACGGGTCAAACTGCGTACAGGCTATGCCATTGTCGGGTAAGACTACAGTCAGGTAATGTCATTGGCGGATTAGACTGCACACATGCCATGCTATTGACGGATCAGACTGCAGGTAGGCAATGTCATTGCCGAGTCACACTGCACACATGCCGTGCTATTGTCGTATCAGACTGCAGACATGCCATGTCATTGTTGGGTCAGACTGCAGCCAGGTCATGCCACCGTCGAGTCAGACCGCAGACTTGTCAGCGTAGAACGTCGTCTCGGAACATGGGTCAGTGGTTCTGAACGTCTGTTGGCATGCGCGCCTTGAAGACACCATCTTTTTCGCCCAATGACTACTGAGTGCCGACTTTCCCGCATAGGTCGGTTGGGGCGTCCATAATCACCTGACCACGTCCAAACTTGGCCAGGTGACATGGGTTGGCCCCATACAGAAGCAGAAGACCAACCACATCGGCATGACCCTTGAGACAGGCCACGGTCAGCGCCGTGCCCTTGCCGCCCCTCATCTGCGCCGTGATGTCACAGCCTCTCCGCAGAAGATACCTGTCGGCGGCGACAGACCAATTGCATTTCAAGAGCCTGGAGATTCTTCTCTGACACTCGGCTGTCCCAATGACAACATAAGGTCATTACAAGCGACATCCAAAGAATCTAAAATATTTCATCTCCAACTCTGGTTCATGCACATACCGGTTTCCAAATACCTGAAAAACGGCTTGATCGATTCAAGACTCCATCTGCTCCCCGACAAAAGCCCACCAGTGCAGGAAGTGCGCTCAGGGGATGTAGCGCAATGAAGTTACGTGTGATGTACATAGTACTGAACACCACGCACAGGTGTAAAGTTTCCTTTTAGTTGGTGGGGCTGCAGCAGCGCCCCCCCCCCCCCCTTCCCGCCCAACTTTGGGAAGGAAGTGGGCCAAAATCCGGGGAGAAACCCATTTACTGGCATATTTGGGGTAGGTTGAGTCCTTTTGCACTTGTTAAACCGCAGCTCATTTTGCGAAACCCCACTCCTGACGGCGTAGCTGTTAGCTGTCCCACGGCGAGGCCGGCAGGTGAGGCCGGAGCCCGGGCCCGACGGGCGGATCACCTGACGACATCCAGATGTCCGTGGCAGGCCGCCATCATCAGTGGCGTGATGTCAAGGCGGGAGGACAGTCTGCTGTTGATGTTGACCCCTGCCCTCAGCAGCAGTCGGATGGTCCCCACACTGCCCCTGGCCGCCGCCAGCATCAGCGGCGTGTTGTCATACAGGTTGCGCTGCTCCAGATGGACGCCCCTGACACAGGAGCGTCGGTGAGGAGAGCCCGGGAGAGGTGGCACCAGCGACAGGCGGAGAATCACGTCAAGGGGAAAACTGAGGATCCGTTTCGGTCAGTCATCGGCGCGGTGCCGACCAACGGAGTCAGTTCTGAGATTGCCGCATGATTGGTGTCGAGCAAGTATTGTACAGCTTCGACGGATGGATGCCAGCATGTCACGCCGCGGCCCATACATACGCACATGCATCCACCTACGCCAGCGGCGGATGCAACATCAGCCTGGCCACACATGCACGGACATACGAGCGGCGCGCGTGAACGCATTCATCTCCGCCACGGGGGCACCACCCTACATTTGGATGAGGATGCGGACGACTTCGTGGTGGCCGCCGAAGCAGGCCTGCAAGAGCGGCGTTTCTAGCGAGCTGCTGGACTGGTGCCTGGGGTTGGCACCTCTGTACAGCAGCAGCTGCACGATATCCGGGTGGCCGGCGCCGCAGGCCATCATGAGCGGCGTGAACCCCGCCGCGTCGGTGTGTTCTGGGCGCAGAGAGGTCTGTCAGAGCCGGGGCAGTAACGGCTGTCGGTGTGCTCTGGACGCAGAGAGGTCTGTCAGAGCCGGGATAGTAACGGCTGTCGGTGTGCTCTGGACGCAGAGAGGTCTGTCAGAGCCGGGATAGTAACGGCTGTCGGTGTGTTCTGGGCGCAGAGAGGTCTGTCAGAGCCGGGGCAGTAACGGCTGTTGGTGTGCTCTGGACGCAGAGAGGTCTGTCAGAGCCGGGATAGTAACGGCTGTCGGTGTGCTCTGGACGCAGAGAGGTCTGTCAGAGCCGGGATAGTAACGGCTGTCGGTGTGTTCTGGGCGCAGAGAGGTCTGTCAGAGCCGGGATAGTAACGGCTGTCGGTGTGCTCTGGACGCAGAGAGGTCTGTCAGAGCCGGGATAGTAACGGCTGTCGGTGTGCTCTGGGCGCAGAGAGGCCTATCAGAGCCGGACAAGTAACGGCTGTCGGTGTGCTCTGGACGCAGAGAGGCCTGTCAGAGCCGGGATAGTAACGGCTGTCGATGTGCTCTGGACGCAGAGAGGCCTGTCAGAGCCGGGATAGTAACGGCTGTCGGTGTGCTCTGGACGCAGAGAGGCCTGTCAGAGCCGGGATAGTAACGGCTGTCGGTGTGCTCTGGACGCAGAGAGGCCTGTCAGAGCCGGGATAGTAACGGCTGTCGGTGTGCTCTGGACGCAGAGAGGCCTGTTAGAGCCGGGATAGCAACTGCCGGCGGCGGATTACGCGTCACCTCTTGTGACAATTCTTGACGCACGGGGCTGACATGAGACGGTCACCGTGAGCCAATCACTGAGTGGTGGGTGCGGTTGGTGGTTCAACTACTTTGGCTCTCAGCTGCGCGCCTTCAGCGAATACTGTCCTCATCCCCCATACATAACTTATCACTTATTTCATCATGTATCCTAGCACGTGTTTATCTGAGAGGAGACGGTTTGTAAAATTGCACAGAACAGCAGGTAGCAAAATCTTTTGAAGCATTTTTTTCGAACCAGACGATTCGCTTAAGGATCTCCACAGGGTGTGGGCAGCTAATGGGTGACTGAATGCGCTACTGGGCCGGGTGCCCACCGCCGGCCGGAGACGGCTGAGGGTGTGACCTGGAGCGGCGACGGAAGCGTGGCCCGTCTCAGCTAGCAGGTCGGACCGGTGGGAGGTAGCGGGTCGCGGGTTCACTGGCAGTGATCATTATTTTTCGTTATTGTAAGGAGAAGCGCTCCATTTCAGCGTTCCACTTTTCGGCCAATCCACTCATCACATGATGTACTGCTTCATGTTCATAATCGAAAATAAACAACACACAGTACGCGCACATACAGACACAGAGGTCCTCAACGATGACAAATCAAGTATCCCATAACAAAATGCAATTTGCACCTCATCGGAAGCTGGAATCCATTTGTCATAAATCACGCATAGTTACATTTGCACCTTTATCAAGGAGCTGGTATACCAAGCATAAGATCCAATTTCCGTTTCTTTTCATAAGTGACGCCCACTCTTTATACATATCTTAAGCTGAACTTTTATCTTTAAACCCAAGGAAAAACTTACCGGTAAATATCAAACCAGAGATGAAATCACCATGTTTGTGGCAGTTAAGGCTCAAAAGCGCAACCAACTCTTTTCGAGCACCTATGCGAAACTCTTCAACTGAAAGTAAAGGGGCTAAAGTAAGATCTGACACTTTAGATACTGGCATCAAAGCGATTCTTCAGCAATTCGCGGCTGGTCGCTGGGAGCCGTTGTCGTTCTTATCGAAAAATCTCAAGCCGGCGGAGACTCGGTACAGCACCTTCGGCTGAGAACTCCTTGCCATATACCTGGCGATCCGGCACTCCCGACACAGCGTCGATGGTCGTCACTTTGCCATCTTCACGGATTGCAAGCCCCTGGCTTCGCGATCGAGCGCGGTTCTGGCCGATACTCGCGCAAGAAGATCCGACACCTTGACTTCATCGGGCAATTCTCAACTGACGTCAGGCACGTGTCGGGCAAGGTGAACACTGTGGCTGACACGCTTTCACGGACGATCGTCATGCTGCGCGCACCGCAGCCCCTGCTCGATGATCTGGATGCTCTCGCGGACGGTCAACGTCAGGATGATCACCTTCAAACCTTCACCACCTCATCGCGCTCACTGGTCGTGCGTACCGCTCCGTTGACAAGTGTTCGCAAGTTCGTGGTGGATTAATCTGCGGGCAGGCCCGCCCCCTGGTGCCAGGAAGCCTCCTGTGGCAGTACTTTCGGCTTGTGTGTGATTGAGGCTTTACGACGCACTCAGCTGCTGAGGCTATATGGCGTCGCCTGCCTCTCAGCCTGGCAGGAAGGGCGGGCACCGTGCGGAATCGAACTCCGTACTTCTGGTTTCCCAGACGCGCGGTGGTTAGCGCAGACGTGTTAACCACTACACTACCGACACCCCAGTACTTTCGGCTTCCGCACGGCCTGACACACCTGGGAGTTCGGGACACGCATGACCTCGTCTCCAAACGCTTTGTGCGGCCTTTGATGCGTCGAGACGTCAGGGAGTGGACACGGGTATGCACCTCGTGTCAACGTGCGAAAATTGATCGGCACACCCGGGCACCGACACAGTTTCGCGCTACCGGACGCTCGATTTGACGCCGTCCGCATCGACCATGTCGGCTCACTGCCCCGTCGGACGGCCACACGTACCTGCTTACGTGCGTCGACCGGTTCACCCGCTGGGTGGAAGCCATCCCTGTGGCGGACATCGCGGCGGTCACGATCGCCCGCGCCTTCGTCGCCGGCTGGGTGGCACGGTTTGGAGAGCCCGCACAGGTCACCACTGACCGCGGTGCCCAGTTCGAGTCCGGACTGTGGCAACACCTGCCGGCGTTTCTTAGCAGGCGGCGCTCCGATAGGCATCGCACCACCAGTTCCCACCCACAGAGGGACAGCATGGTGGAGGTGTTCCACCGACAGTTGAACACGGCTGTGCGGGCAGCGGACTCGACGACTCGCTGGACCGATCTCCTGCTGCCGGTTCTGCTTAGCGTGCGTTCAGCTCTTTGTTGTTATTGGGGCTTTACGACGCACTCAGCTGCTGAGGCTATATAGCTCAGTTTCACGACGGGGAAGGAGATCCCAGCGGACCTCACAGACGGCAATGTTCGTCACGTCCAACGGCTGACGATGTTCAGGGATGGCCAGCGTCGGGACACCAGTCTCCTTGTTGACCTTTGCTACCACCCGACTTCCAGAGACGCTCACCGGTGGTTACCTCCTCTGTGAAGTTAGGGTGTCTATCTCGAATCAAATCAGGTGTTTCAAATGCCAGCGGCTTGGACTCGGCAGCAAGTACTGCAAGCGGAATGCCGGATGCCTGAAGTGCGGCGAGGCGCCTCACAAGGAGTATGCCTGCACAACGCCCCAGAGCTGTCCCAGCTATGGGGGCGCTGACCACTACCCAACTCTTCCCAGGGCCCCACAGGAAAAAGAGCTTTGGTCGGAAAAGCCCTTGCAAGACAGGTGTGTCGTATCACAGGGCACGTTGAACTGCTGGGACAAAAATGTCCCCAAAGTCCAACAAAGCATATGCACAGGTAGCAAGTCACGATGGACACGTGCGGAACACAGAGTGACGTTATCTCCCAGCGGCCTCCCCTGAAGCTTCTCACCCGCCCGCGCACGTCTGCCTCCGCTGAGTAGACCCCGCAGGCCCAGGCGAACATTACCGTCGAGTCGCCCCTGGCTGGCCGCTCGGACGCCCAGACGGCCGCGTTCTTCCGTCTCCGAGCTGGCCGGCGTCCCAGCCCTCTGGCTACGTGTGGTCCGCGTGCGGGCCAAGCCGTTCAGTGTCATAGCCCTCCGGCTATGAACAGTCGGCAGCCCGGTCCCTCTGGCTGCCGCGCGAACGGTCCCTCTCCTCCCTCTGCACAACACCGGTCGCAGCACGCTCATGCGAAGACCATCGGTCCCGTCCGTCAGTGAGAGTGAGGACGGGACGACCTCGGCCTGTCTTGTTCGGTCGAATCCCATCAACCGGTGGAGATGGGTCCATTCGTCATTAAATGTCTTTCGTCTTACAGTGGAACTGTCGCACACTTCTTTCAAAATGGTCTGAAATGAAACACTTTACAGGATAAGCTCCAATCATTACCGCTGCACGGGAAACTTGGTTTTGTCCTACTGAACCATATACCTTTGAAATACCAAATTATCCTTCATATCTTTGTGACAACACAGACGGTGGAGAGCCGCAAGGTGGGCTGGCGCTATAAATAAAAAATTAAATTAAACGCATGCATGTTTCAATCACCACACCTCTTCAAGCTGTTGTGTGTTCTGTGCAACTTCATGGCCGCAACATCGATGTACGTTCTTTGCACATTCCTCCGCCTTACCATCGGCGGAGCTCCCACGGCAACTAGACCTCCTAATTACCTTGTTAAACAAAGGAAATCATGCTTACCACCATTTGCGGAAACCGCAATCGACCTGTCGCTACGCCCTCCCTTCATAGGGACTTCCTTTGACTGGACTGCTTAGGGAGTTATACACGGCAATTACCATTTTCCCATCAACCTTTGCATCATTTTTTATCCATCCACTGAAGCATTTTCGCCATTCATACCCCGCTGGAATTTATCAAAAGCAGACTGGGGCAAGTTTCAGGAATTTTGTTGTCAACCAAGATAGTTACGAAACACCAGAGAAGGCTGTTAACCTTATTGCACATATCATTCATGCTGCAGCGACCACGACAATTCCACTGACTAATCCCCCATCACGCCGCCTGCCAGTACCATGGTGGACGACCGAAATTAAAGATGCTATTGCACGTCGGAAACATGCCTTTCGCTGCTTTCGTCGCTATCGTGACGTACCTCACGAAATTACGAGAGAAATTAATCACGAATTATAAGGAGGACCGAACGGCATTCTTGGCAGACCTACATTCGGCGGCTCGCTTCTGTCACTCCCCTAAGCTAGCTATGGGGACTGGTTCGAGCACT